TACAGCAATGTTTCAGCTATTTTTCAAAATAGCAACATAGAATTGAGTCACTTGTCGTATCATGGGTTCAACTTTTGTATACATCTGTCGTAAAACTCTGCCGCCTGTGAATGGAACCACGTTGTGAAACAGTAAACGCTGACCGTTACTGTGAAACACTGCGGAAATTGTGACGTGCCATTCAAAACAAGAGGCGTGGAATGCTTACTGCATGTGTTGTGCTCATCCATGACAATGCTCTTTCACATACAGCTCGACGCACAGCAGCTGTTTTGACGAAATTTGGCTCGGAGTTGTTTGATCATCCACCCTACAGCCCTGATCTTGCTCCCAGCGATTTTCATGTTTTCTTGCACCTCAAGAAATTCCTGTCCTCCGGTGAGCGTTTTGGCAACGACGAAGAGTTGTCACACGCTCGTTCCATTTACAGGCGGCAGAGCTCTACGACAGAGGAATACAAAAATTGATCCCACGATACGACAAGTGTCTCAATTCTGGTGGTGGCTATGTTGGAAAATAGCTGAGACATTGCTGTACTTGTTGCCATTAAATATGTTCCTGAAAGTATGAGTTCTTTTTTTTAAAAAAAAAATAGGGAAACTTACTTTCTGGATGCGCCCCGTAATTCTAAAATGAATTTTCGTATAGCATGATATGATAAATAAAAAAATTTCTTTTCTTCAATGTTTATTTATTTTGATAAATCTATTGTTCATATGATAAAAATAGCAATTTTTTTTGTAAAAAAAAAAGTATAAGTCTTGAAAAACTCACAAACGAAAGCATGAAACCGTCCAATTAAAGCGCCATTTCGAAACAAACCATTATAAGCACAAAGATAAATCAAGAGAGTTTTTTTAAAATAAACTTAAGGATTTGAATCAAATCGCATCTCAGACTAAAATTAACCCCAAGAGAACCGAATTATGATGGTCATCACATCAAAAACATTATCATCCTTCTCACTGATGCAAATAAACTAAGGGTACACAAAAGTCATAAGTTTGGGAAACACTGATTTATTGCAAGAAAAAATGCAAATTAATCAAAGTCTCTTGGGCCACGTCTAGCACGAAGCCAGGCTGCGATATGGTAGGACATTGAAGCATAGGAATCCCTTATAGTGTCCAACAGCGTCTCCTTCCACAGTTACTATAAAAACATCGCTAAATCAACTTAACTCGGAGGTTGACCAATTTGCCGTCCCAGTTGGTTCCAGATATACGCTGCGTTTGGTGACAAATCTGAGTTCACTGTGTTCATACAAGGCAAAAGAAGCACAAATAGCATTGATCGCCTTAAGCCATGTTTCTCAACAGCATCACACGAAGTAAGTGTCGACAGGACAAAAAGCAACCCCCCCTAGTGTAGACATCAGTGATTCTCTGGACCCTACTCCAGGAGACAAGGTCCCTGTGAACCAATCCCAGACCATCACTCGCTCTGGCAGGTGGGTTCGCTTTAACCCTCGTTACCTCTGACATCAGTGCCTTCGCCACTTGGAGAGGGGGGGAGTACTGGGGTGAACCACCTTCTCACCAGATAGCGATTGAAATAAAAAAAATATAACTACGTACTAAAAAGTAAAATTAAAGGTGAAAAGGTACTTTTTCATTTCGTTTAACTCCAGAAAATCGCTATACTCAGAAGATGCTTAGTTAATTTTGCCAACACATACTATTGGTATTAGGGTAATGGTGCATTTTTAATAAGAATTCTACAAAGGATTTCTGTAGTTTCAGAAAATATATTTCCAGTGACAGCAAAGATAGTGTATGAATATTTCAATGAATAAGAATTAAAAGAAATCTTTTCTATTTATAAATATTTCAAACAGTATATTAAATGTCAGATAAAGAAATGGTTATGCTCTAAATTTCTTATCAAAGTCTTATAGGAACCTTATTTGATTTTAAAATCTCGGCTTTATTTTGCTACCACTGATAAATGTATTTCGCGCAAACTACAAATATTGAAGGTTATATGATAGGTAACAAATATACTAATATGGGTATGGAATATTGATATATTTGTTAATTATTAAAGCAGCACCAATACTGTGCAGTTTTAATACCGATACTGTGAAAATAAGTGTCTCACGGCCCCTCGAAGGAGATTTATACCGGACAAAATTACTTCAGCTAGTTTCAGAGACAAGTTTTATAGAAATATGTAAAATAATGACTTTAGTGAGAGGAGTTTTTCTTTTTCGTCTTTTAAGATATTAAAGATTTAAATAAATATTTAAATACAAGATAATATATTTGTAATTGTAATGATCTCCACGTTTTGATTACTCGCTTTAGGCTTTCGTTTCTGTAAGGGTGGTGTATCTTACAATAGAAGTTTTAAACGTTTTCACTGTTAGAACTACTAACGACAATTTAATTTTCTATTATTTCCAAACGGCTATAAGAAGAATTTATTGCCATATTACTACTAAATGAAATTCATCACCAATCAAATTTTCTATCACTTTCTAACTTGCTAAATTTTTTAAATATTCGTTGGAGTTCTCTGTTTGATACAACTAACTAATGAAATAAAGAAAATGCGTAAAAACGACCACTTTAATGGTTTAAAGGGTCATTAATTTCGCATGCGAATTTAGAACCTAGTTTACAATTATTATTATTATTTTCTTTCTTACAAATTTAGAATGAAGAATGGCCCTTAATGAGCTCTTTTTACAGGGGATTTGAGTAAAAGAAACTATCTTACCATGGCAGACATAATTTTGACAACTTTGTAAGTTACCACTCGAAAAAGGGTACAAAGCATGAATTGCTTCCTTTTCGTCATTAACGGAAAGTTTATAAGGCAGGTGGGTAGGTGTATGATATAGGCACTTGGAAAATTCATACCGATCTGGATGCAGTGAGAATGGCCATTTGCACGCAAATACGCCAAAGGTGGCTTTATTAGCCTTGCTTAGGAATAGACGCCGAACATATAATCATAGAAAAGAAGGGATTAAAAGAAATCACTCTTGTCTAAGTATTAATTTCCTCAAATCCATGCTTTGTTTCAGAAGTTACAAAGTCTAAAACCATTTTTCAAAGCAAATTTGGGAGAAAACAATTAATTTATGTGCTAGTAAGAATTTTAGAAGCACTTCCAACAAAAAAAAAAATAATAAATAAATAAATGAGTAAAAAACTCATGGGCATGCACAGATTATAAATTTAATGACTCAAAATTGATATTATTGCTATTAACTGATATTCAATAATTAATTATGAAATTAAATGCTGGCTTAGAATTAAATAAAACAACTTTTTATTTAAATTATTATAAATGTAATGTAATTGAAATATTGCAGAAATTTGAAATTATTGGCAAAATATTACATATATATATATATCGTGAATATTTAAAAATTAGAGTAAAAAATTCCGAAATTCAAAGGAATTTTTTTAAATTGGTCTAATCAGTAATTATCCTTAATGTTTGTTTAGTTTTGAACCTGTCGTAAAGAAACAATGGCATATTATCTGATTTGTAAATCAGAAGCTAACAAAATGTTAAAAAAAAAAGAGAAAGGAAATATTAAATTAGATTTAAGTCCTTGGTTAGTTGTAACCCTAGTGAGTTTAATGCGCCATCTTCTGAGAATTTCTGAACTACGAAAAAAAGGTACTTAAATCATCGTCTAGATGATCGTCGTCGGCCGTTCTTTCGTATAGACCATGACTACCACTTCAACTTTCAAGACGGACATGATTGTATTTCGAAGTGGCGGGTGATATTTGAAGTACATTTGAACTGTTTTCTAAATAGCTATTGAACATGGGGGAAAATGCTGTATTTAAATTAGAAGCGGAAAATGAACTTCGTGTTATGGTTGGTGATCAAACACAAAGTGTTGAGATTGAACTAATTGATGGCCTTGCCGAAATCTATGGCACGGAGATGCAGAAAAACAAAGTTTATGCATTTCCGAAATCTTCATCAATATCTGTTTTTTCATGGCAAGGTTGTTCTATAAAAGTGACAGGTGCCCCACAGGAGGCTTATATTGCTACTGATACTTACATGATTCTTCATGTTATATTACACGCTTGTTTGGAACAGATGCGAATAGCTGCGGAAAACGATAATCGCAAGGGACCCGTCACCCTAGTAGTAGGTCCTGCAGATTCTGGTAAAAGTTCTTTATGTAGACTGCTCTTAAATTATGCAGCCAGACTCGGAAGAAAACCATTTCTAATAGATTTAGATGTTGGGCAGAATTCGCTTTCGATTCCAGGAACAATAAATATACTTAACGTAGATAAACCAGCTGATATTGTTGATGGTTTTGATCAAGAAGCTATACAAGCATATCATTTTGGTTATAAAAGTCCTGGACAAATGATTGCTTTATATTTTCTTCAAATCAAAAAATTAGGGGAAATACTTCAAACACGCTTGAGAGAAACTAATAGGAATGCTCGAACATCAGGCGTGATTATTGATACTTGTGGTTGGACCAGAGGTGATGGCTATAATGCGTTAACTCTAGCTGCTATGTCATTTCAAATTGATAAACTTGTTGTTGTACAAGAAGAACGTTTATATACACAGCTGAAACGAGACATGCCGTCTTGTGTTGAAGTTCTTTATATGCCTAAAATGCTAGGTGTTAATGAAAGAACTAGACCAGTTCGTATTCACTATAGAGAAAAAAGAGTGAAAGAATATTTCTATGGTTCTACTGTTGAATTACACCCACACACTTTTGAAATTCATTTCTCCGAGATTAAAATTTACCAAGTTACAATGAAAAGTCCCGCACCAGACAGTAGTGTTGGTGTTTCTCTTAATGATATTGGTTATAGTGAAGTGGCCTTAGGACCTCAATTAATAAATCAGGTTTTGGCTCTCAGCTCAGCAGATAAAATGTCTGATGATGCGGTATTAAAAAATATTATTGGATTTATATGTGTTAGAGATATTGATTTAGTTCGAGGCTATATCACTATTTTGAGTCCACAACCTGCTCCGTTACCAAAAAAGATTTTATTTTTGGGAGACATTGAACTGATAATGTAGTTTTATAAATTAAGTGGACATAAAAGCAACAGAAATTGTTGTTTGACGACATGTGTTCTGATTTCGTTCTATAGAAAGCATAGTGTATGTGCCTGCAGTTTTAGAAAAGTTGAATGATATGGGAAGCCATTGTTTTGCTTAGAAGTTGCCCTAACTTGTCGATTGTTTTGGCACAGGTAATGGATATGGAAATCTTTCGGTATCCCCATGAACATTTCTAAAGTTTGTTTTGGTGAATTTAATAAGCTGTTTTATGTATTTATTGAAAGTTTGGTGTCGTTAATAATCAGATTTGTTGTATTTATGAACATATTAAAATTCAGTCACGACAAGTAAAATCTCTTTTTTGTCATGAAATCAATCTTTCAAAAACAGCATTAAATGTCAATCTTTGAAAAAAGTAGCATTTTAAGTATTGATTAATTAATAATCAATATCAACTTAAATTGCTGTAAAACCTAAATTGAATGAAAAGTTTTCAATTTGCTTCTATGTTCCCCGAAGGGGCCTAAATAGTTATCACGCTTAAAATTAGATGTCTGAAAGAATTTGTGAAAACTTACTGAAAATCTTTCTAGATAAATAATGCACAAAAAATATAAGTATTAGAAATGGTATTTCATTTCTCAATTCAAAGCAATAATTTTGTTGGTAATTAAATAGTATATATTTTAAATAAAACAATTCAAATTATTAATTATGACAGATAAATATTAATTACACTTAATTTGCATTAAGATATCTAATCAATATAGTTAGTTACATGTTTTTCTTAGTTAACTTAATTTTTAAATTTGAAAGCTATTAATATTTATGTCCGAAATTTAATAAGTAGGTACCGTTTCAGTATTCATGTAGAGATAGTTCCTAGAGATAACCACATTGTAGATCTCTTTCCACAATGTTCGCCTCTTATTTAAAAGTTTTCTGCAAACAAAAAATCTTCAATAAAAAATTTTCTGCAAGCAATTTAACTAGTTTCAGCCCTTTGTTGATGTCTAGTTGGTTGGAAAATTACTTATTTTTTTACATAAATGTTTTTATTTTCATAAAATTCTATATTAATTATCATACATAAAAGTATACTTTAAATTTAGCTACTTTTTGCAGATATAAAACTATTAACTTACCTAGTTTATCTTATACTTGACTTTGTATATTTAAGTCGCTCAATACAAACATTTAATACATGTTTTTTTTTATAAAGAGAAATACTTAGTTTAATAGTGCTCGTGCATATTATGCGTATCTGCTAGTGAGTTAACATTTATTTTAAACATGGCATTCTTAGTGCTGTGACCAAAAGAAAAATTATTTGGAAATTAAATAAAACTTTCTTGAAGTGTTTAAGTTACAATACAAGTTATATTCTGTGGAACAGGTTTGTTTTTGCTCTGCCATCTATTTTCAGAGTTTTTTTAAAAAAATGAATGTCACTGATTTTTTCTGCATTTTTATCGATGTTTGCAACCCTATTAAATTAAAAATTCACATTATTTACGAGGATAACAATTTTTTAAATTCATAATTAGAAAATACTGCAGTTTTATATCAAATGCTTTGTCTCAAGCAAGTTTTGTTACACTGTGCCAAATTTTATAAAATCCAGCAATATATATTCGGACACAATGTAGTTGAACCTGTTTTTAACAAACCCTAGTTTATTGAGAACCCGGATGTACGGAGGAAATATGGAATATTTTCTTGGTCTAATGTAAGGCCTATGTAAAGTAGCTTGATTTTATAGAGTAAACCAGGGTTTTAACAAAAAATATTTTTGTGATTTATAAAATTTCTACTTGATTCCACCTTTTCAGCTCAGCTGATTCCTTGGTGGAAAAATTCATTTTTAATGTTTTTCGAGGCCACTTATGTTTTTGTATGATGTTTTTAGAGTTTTACTGAAGGACAATTTCATGAACAGTTCAAAATGTATTTCCAATTGTACGGTATTTATTAATAATTAAAGCTTGTAAACTTTCAATCCAGTTGCATATTATAATGTAGGTTTATTTTCAGGGTTTGCTTGATTAAATCACTTAAAAATAAGAAACACATATTTTAATCTAAAAGATTTTACTTTTATTAATAAAATTAGCTATCATTTTTTGTGTAAAATTTAATGCAACCTAATCAAATTTATATAAAGTAAAATCTCTGCTTTTGTAGTTTGCCTATTTTTGAAAAGGGTAGCTATTTTCTAAGTTCAATGACAGTAGAATACCTTTTCCCCCATATATTCTATTTCAGTAGCATCAAAACTGTTCTTTTAACTTTTTATTATCAACAGAATCGCTCTTCACATAAGCGAAAAAATAAAAACTTGCATTACTTTGTGACAACCAAGTGATAGAACTTCCATTTCCTAGTTTAATATGATTTATCCACATTTCTGTGGAAAAAAATTGATAACGAAAAGTAGACAGCTTTTGACTAAGCTTAAAAGTTCGAAGCGACAAATTGGTTTTCAAAAAATCCTAATTTTTTTACATTAATTCCATGCTTTAATTATTTTTTGAAAATGTTGAGTGTATTATTTGATAGTTTCTTTGAAGTTTTCATTAATTTTAATCAATATTAAAATATGTGGAAACTTTTTTTTAATATATATATTTTTTGTTGTGAAAAGTGTACTTTCTAGTTATTTAATTTTACTGTTGAACTTTTTCTTTCCTGGACACATGTGTCCTAAAATTGTCATAAATAGGTAACTAATAAATGTGTATATGTTCTCATAAAATGAACAATAAGTCTGTTTACTAGATAGTTAATTTTAAAATGTGATAAATAGTTTTAGTGTATGTCTATTAAAAATACCATTTAAAAGATTTTGTGTTAAATTTAAAAATTTAGTTAAACATTTCAATTAATTTTAACTTAAAAACATTCCGTACATCCTTGTATATAAGTCAATTCTTTATTTTTGATTATGGGATAGCAAATTTCAGATATGTCAGATGTATAAATTGACTGCTGAAGAAGCCAAATATACAAAAACGAATTAAGTCTACAAAATTTTCTTAAAATAAAAATATTTCACATCTTTCTTATCTGAATGATACATATACCCTTAAATAAATTTACATAATGTAATCCGACTCAGATTATGCTGTGGAATCTTTTTTGTAGCTTTATGGGTATGTTTTAAAGTTCATTGTGTTATATTTTTTAATATACTATTGTTTTTCTTATTCTTAATTTACATAATTTAAATTTTTGTTTCTAAAAAAATCTTTAGATGTAAAAAAAAAAGAACAATAGAAAATGCAAAGTTAATTACAAGTAACATGAAAATAGTTTTTGAAAATGATAAATTTATAGTTAAATATATCTATCTCATTACTTACAATGCATCAAAATTTTGGACGTTTGAAAAGTCAACTTATACAACGGGACATGCTGTGTTTAAATATTTCAAAATTTATTATTTTTTTATTCACTACTTTACAATCAAAATACGTGTTTTTCGTCTAAAAAAAGATTAAATAATCTTAGATTAAGTTACTACTCAATATTGTGTTTTAATTGTTAGGGTTTAATTGTTGCTATATATCTTTCTTTAGAAAATTAATCAATTAGTTCGTCTTTCTAAAATTGCAAAAAGAATCATAAATATTGTTATAATTTTTTTAGAGATTGCGGATGATTTTAACAATTGAATATTTTTGATTTGATATTTTACTAGTTAATTTTTTTATAAATTCTATCTTTAGTTGAGATATTCAGTAAACTACATAAAATAACACATAATTTATCTAGGTATACGTGTACATAATCAGGGGTCTGTCCACGTTGAATTTACTACCGTTTAGCGGTACCTTCACAAATTCAATTTTAGGAAATACTGTAGTTTCACAAATTCAACTTTAGGAGAATCGGTAGTTTCACAAAGTATAGGATTTTATTTTTGTATCCTTAAGAAACGATAAATCCATATTTTTACTATGTTTTTGTGTTGATTTTTTAATATCATTTTTAATTTTTCACATTATGTCTAAATTTTCACAAAATAGGTACCTCTCAGAAAAACCTAGACAGACCCCTGATAATTGTATAGGAAAATACGAATGACATATTAGCTAACTTATTGTAATAGATTATATAATAGATTTTAAAGTTCTAAATAAAACTCAAATAAAAAAATTGTTGCTTTAAAAAAAATTTATTCAAGCAGTTTCTTTAATTGTTAAATTTAAACAAGTATAATGGTCATTTTTAATTTCTTCAGATTATTTTATCTTCTTTCTCGCACTGCCTTGTTATTTAGTTTAGCTTTTTTTTTTAGAAAATATATATACTATATGGCTCATTCTAATGAAAACTGTTATTTTCAGTTCATATAATCTCAAAAAAGCAAAGTAAATAAAAAGCTTTGAAACTTTTTATATTTATAGATATATAATGGCATTATAAGAAGAATATATATGCTTTAAATCATACTTAATCTTTAAACAAATTGGTTAATTTCACAATTTAAAAAGTGAGGGAATGACACTAATAGTTTATTACAGGTTTGGGAAATAGAATTGGCTGGCAAGATTGTCACATGGAATGGGTGGTAGAATTCTTCTTTTGATGTCGGTTTTTATGTAGCTATGTATGTCTTTTGAAAATGGGCATTTGTGTTTTCCCTACTCGTGTTGGAATCATTACATCAATTCTTACATGTTTTGAATCCAAGGTTTTTAATCACTGGGGTATAAAAGTTTTTCAACTAGAACCTAATCTTCTATTTTGAACTCCTCTGTATTTTGCTAGTACATAATGGAATAGGGATTTTAGACTTGTACTCATATGCAATTTCAAAATAATATTTTTGACACAAAATTGATGCAAAACATGAGAGAGAGAGTGAAAATTCAATACTATGTTATTCCTTGAACTGCATGCAACTTGATGAACTTTCATAGTGCCAGTGAATGGTTTTATTTCTCCCTCGATTAAGTTATCACATTTTTTTCTATCTTAATTTGTAACTTCAATTGAAGTTACTAAGCAAT